AGAGCGAGAGAGAGAGACGAAGAGAGCGAGAGAGAGAGAGACGAGAGAGAGAGAGGAGAGAGAGAAGACAAAGAAAAAAAAGAGAAACAAGAAGAGAAAGAGAGAGGGGACTTCGGCACGAGCGAAGAGATAGAGGAGTTAGGTGTCAAGCACGTATGCACTGAGAGAGGGAAGGGACGGCACGAGGAAGGAGCTGAAGTCCGTGGAAAGGAAAAGATACGGGTGATGTGTGAGAGGGAGAGCGACAAAATGAGTGTGAGGAGCGAATGGAGAGAGCCAAAAAGTAGCATTCAGTGAGTGAGAGAGGGGTGGAGGCGAGAGAGGGGAGAGAGAGAGATGAGAGAGAGAGAGAGAGAGAGAGCGAGAGAGTAGAGACACAGGGGGTGGCGGCAGAGAGATAGGGGGAGGAGCCCAGTCGATGCTCAAAAGTTGGCGCTAGCTTCCTCGTGGGCCGTGCCGAAACAGCGCTGTGTTATTCACATCACACTGCCATCGGATAGTTCACTAGCTAATAACTACATTTCCGACTTATATTACAAGCTAGGGGGCAAAACTTTTCATCGGCCGCTGGAATGTGGAAGTGAAAATCCACTGCAGTCAGAATTTCTCACTGCCGGCGGCCAGAGATGTACGCCCTGACACATGACTTGTCTCTTCAGTGCTCCTCCTACCCGCATAATTTAGACAGACCGTGAAACGCACGGCCGTGAATGTTCTCAAAAGAACAATTTAGTTCGCACGAGGTTTTCGCAGATAATGTGGCGATAGCTTGGCAGTCAACGGGGCAGAATAGTACTAGTAGCTACATCTGCTCTCTGTTAAGTCCCGAGTAGCTCACCGAATCCATCCTTCACAGCTGAAGATGACACGTTAGAACGTTAGACAATACGACACCAGATTCTACGGTACCTCTAACGAAACTAAACTAAAAGTCTAATTGCCAGCTTGTCATACTCGCCTAATGACTTACCCGACTAATCCGGAACCCCCGGACTAATTCCGAACTAATTCGGAACCAACTAACAAACTTACTCAACCACATACCAAACTAAACTATGCTTCGGCCAATAACTTACCCAACTTACTTACTAATTTATCTAACTATACATCAGCGTTTCTTTAGTTTTCAGTACTTCACTTTTGCTTAGAATCCCCATCATTATAGTTTGTTTACACTAAAACATAATACTGTAATATGGAACGATATTTACAAGCCTTTACTATTACAGTTTACGTTATGTTTGTATATCATTGAGAAGCAATTAACCGAGCCTTAATATTTGCTTTTTTTACAAATGAAATACATGAGCGCAATTGCGCAGCGTAACATTGGAAGCTACAGACCTATTACGCTGAAAGACTCAAATACAACGAACACATTTAGTGAGCACTGAGCAGCCGATATTGAGGTGACGCGCAGCAGCATCTGAAAACACTTTTCTGTCCCCTAAGCAAACAAACAAACAGGCGGGTAACAAGCCGATGAAATCAAGTGAAATGCAACCTCGCATCAGCGACTTCCCTTTCAAGCAGATGGCGCTGGTTAATTAACAGACGAACACCGGAGCTCGGTTGCTGTGCACACGCACACACGCGCACGCGGGCACGCACACACACACACACACAAACACGCAGCATGCACGCACGCACGCACACACACGCACGCACACACGCAGGCGCGCGGCATTGAGTTACAACACAAGCAGCTCATCCCACTGACGACTTCCTGCCTGGGTCATCCACGTGCACACGGCCACAACCACGTACGGACTCCCTTATATGCCGATCTAATCAATGTGCCACTGCCACTTCTAGCTAAACTCGATCATTGTCAATAATTATTATCGACCGAAAGACACCGAATGCAGACCAGATCGAGTCAGTCAACCAAGTGGCCACCACTCACGATAGGCCGCGGGCTCTAGTTTTAGGTTGTTAAACTCAGTCAAGTTAACTATGTGGCGCCGACGCCGTTTACTCACACGCGGCTGAACAGCAGAATGCTAGTCTGTCACTGCTAGCGCGTAAATAGCAGTTTTGTAGGAACGTGTGTTATTTCAGACGATCGATATCTGCAAACATTCGGTGGTAATCAACAGTAACTGAATCTTCTTCCCACACGTTAGCTTGTACACTTGTTACATGCATCGGGTTGGCTTGTACACTTGCTACGCGTACTTGCTTGTGCTTGCTAACCAGTTACTTGTGCTCAAGGGGTCGTTGTCGTAACAGGTACTACAGATATGTACCCGAGGTACATATATGTATACACAAAGTGTACCAGACTTGTACTACAGCAGTGTACCCTAACCCTAACACTAACCCTAACCCTAACTCATACCCTAACCCTAACTCTAACCCTAACCCTAACCCTAAACATAGCTCATATAAAAATATAAACATAATACTAAACAACCTAAAACTACCTCCTAATTATATAAAAATATAAACATAATACTAAACAACCTAAAACTACCTCGGGTACATATCTGTAGTACCTGTTACGACAACGACCCTTCGTGCGTTACTTGTAGCTGTTGTTCCTTGTACACTTGTTACACGTACGTCTAATCACTGGCTTGTATGTACATCATTGTATGTCATGTTATGTGTACATGTTGTCATTTGTACACTTGTTACCCGTACTTGTTGTTACCCGTAAACTTGTTACCATTTATCCCTTGCTACACAACGTAAAGGTGACGAAACAACGGCGTCGGTACACGCTACAATTTCGAGCCACCCTCTCGGTTCTCTCCCCCATACCACCAACATTAAAGTGTGTCATAGACGTTGTTCTAGGACAGTGCAACAAATTAGTGTAATTTTACACGACACAATCAACGTCGATTACAAACAATCAACAGAACCAACGGAAGAAAATTTATATATAACGTAAACACATTTATGCGCATTATTCCACTTATTATGCGCATGCGCGCGCGGGTAACGGCAGGTGAATCATAACCAACAATTGCTGCAGGTATGTGCCGCTCAACGTACACAGGTGTTGCCCGGCTAGTATGAAAGGAGAAGGCAGTGTAGTATGGTGACAATAGACATGACGGTTGGGGGAGAATGCTCTTACCAAGGTTAGTGCATTGCAGAGAAGCACAATGCATCAAGACAGCTGCATATATGAGTCATGCTCTACACAGATGCCAAACTAACAGCTATAATATATATATATATATATATATATATATACCTGCAGAAAAAATACGCGGACGCTTTGATAAACTAAATACGGTATTGTAACGTATTAAATCATATATGTAAATTAGTCCTGATATACTCATAACAGGGGCGGATCCAGGGCTGTTCGCTAGACAGTATTTTTCCAGATTTTAAG